GCAGATCCATCACAGAAACACCACAAAACCCTCACTAACTCTGCTTCGCGCACGCTGGTGCGGTGCTTCGCCGGAGTGGGTGTCGCGAGGCTGTGAAGGGCGGCAGGGTTGCTATGCTGATGCTGCAGCAAAGGGGAGGAGGGTGGGGACGCTGTTGTTTGAACAGCAGCGTCGTCGTTTACTGCTGTCCGAACAGCTGCGTCGCCATCGACTGCTGTCCGAATAGCAGCGTCGCGACGACGCTGCTGTGTGAACGTACGCTGCCGGCAGAAGAGAGAAGGGAAGAGGCTGGAGTTCGTGGTCGGCGACGACAGTTGAGAGAAAAAGAGAGAAGAGAACGGTGGGTTAGAGAGAGGGGGGAAATGGGAAATTAATTAGGCTTAGTGAAATTTGTAATATAATATTTAATATTTAAACAGATCCATCACAGAAACACCACAAAACCCTCACTAACTCTGCTTCGCGCACGCTGGTGCGGTGCTTCGCCGGAGTGGGTGTCGCGAGGCTGCGAAGGGCGGCAGGGTTGCTATGCTGATGCTGCAGCAAAGTGGATGAGGGTGGGGACGCTGCTGTTTAAACAGTAGCGTCGTCGTTTACTGCTGTCCGAACAGCAGCGTCGCCATCGACTGCTGTCCGAACAGCAGCGTCGCGACGACGCTGCTGTGTGAACGTACGCTGCCGGCAGGAGAGAGAAGGGAAGAGGCTGGAGGTCGTGGTCGGCGACGACAGTTGAGAGAAAAAGAGAGAAGAGAACGGTGGGTTAGAGAGAGAGGGGGGAAATGGGAAATTAATTAGGCTTGGTGAAACTTGTAATATAATATTTAATATTTAAATATTTAATATTAAATATCTGATTTTCGAAAAATAAAACCTTCCATTTGATTTTAGAACTAGGATCTTTAATACTAAGGTTTAGTGTAATTTTCTCTAGTTTTTACTCCTGTTTATTTGAACATGGATCTATATTCGATATGTAATCAAATAATCTCTTCTGGAAAATGAAGAATTAGTTGTTCTCTTGCTTACGAAAAAAAAAAGAAAAAAAAAGAAAAAGCATGAGCTACATTGATGAAGCTCTTGATTCAAATGGACTAAATTAAAGTGTCGTTACCATTGTAGAAAATCAGCAGCATAAAAAGAGAATATTGTAGAAATACGTCTAGTAATTCATC